TGACAGAAGGTTTTCCAAATTCTCACTTATTCTTATTTCAATGATACCACTGTTGAAAATCCAAAGGCCAGGTTCTAGAACCGATTGGCCCTGTTGCCTAAATCCTTAGCTACACCCAACTACCCAATTATTGAGCATTTACTTATGTGCCAGAATACTGAGTTTATTTAAATCCCTTGACAATTTAACAAGGTAGAACTATTTATTATTCCCAGGTGGTTGGGACAGGGAACACAAGGAGGCAGAGGGAGAGATTAAGGTCAGCTTGTCCAGGTCATAGTTTAGTGCCTGAAAAGCAGAGGGACCCTCGTATGTTGCCCTTAACCACATATCATAGCTGCTACTTCTCCAGCAAATTGGGCTCCAATTAGGCCAAATGTCGCCGAAGGTCTATCACTTTCTTCTTCTTTTTTTTTTTTTTTGAGACAGAGTCTCGCTACTGTTGCCCGGTGGAATTTGCAGTGGCCAGGATTCAGGCTTCACTGCAAAGCTCCGGCCTCCCGGTTCCACGCCATTCTCCTGCCTCAGCTCCCGAGGTAGCTGGGACCCACAGGCGCCCGCACCTCGCGCCGGCTAGTTTTTGTATTTTAGAGAGCAGGGATTTTCACCGATGTTAACGCCCAGGATGGTCTCGGATCTTCCTGACCTTGGGATCCCGGTCTCAGCCTCGCCAATGAGTGCTGGGATTACAGACTTGGAGCAACGCGCCCGGCTTTCTTTTTTTTTTTGGACGGAGGTCTCACTCGTGGTCACCAGGCTGGAGTGCTAGTGGCGCATGTCGGGGGGGGCGGGGGGTAGGACAGGCTGTGTGGGGTCGCTGTTTGTGTTGGTGGAGGGCATCTCCTGCCAGGCCTCCCAGTAGCTGGGGAGGTACAGGCACGCTTTGCGCCACGCCGCGCCCCAGGCTCATTTTTTTTTTTTTTGTATTGTTTGATAAGGTCGGTGGTTCAGTATGTTGCGGCGTGTCTGGAACTTCCGGTAAACCTTGTTGAGGTGGTGCGCCTCCTCATTCCTGCGAAGTGTTTGGCAAAACCCTGTCTCTACAAAAAATACAAACAAATTAGCTAGACATGGTGTCAAGCACCTGTAGTCCCAGCTACCTGGGAGGCTGAGCTAGGATGATCACCTGAGCCTCGGTGGTCAAGGCTGCAGTGAGCTGTGATCAAACCACTGCATCCCAGCCTAGGCAAAAGAGTGAGACCCTGCCTTGGAAAAAAAAAAAAAAAGTTAACAACAACAAAAAAACCCAAAACAAAACAAACAAATGATATGATATTAACAAAGCACTGTTATTAATAACAAATCCATTATTTTTGCTAAAGCCAAAAAAAATCACCTAAATATACTAAATATACTAAATATAGTGTGATCTCAGGCTTGTGAAAACAGAGAAAAGACAGGAAGAAGACAGAAAGTTGGGTCGGGCACATTGGCTCACACCTGTAATTCCAGCACTTTGGGAGGCCAAGGTGGACAAATCACCTGAGATCAAGAATTCGAGACCAGCCTGGCTAACATGGAGACACCCCATCCCTGCTAAAAATACAAAATTAGCCAGGCATAGTGGCGCATGCCTGTAATCCCAGCTACTTGGGAGGCTGAGGCAGGAGAATCTCCTGAACCCAGGAGGCAGAGGTTGCAGTGAGCCGAGATTGCACCATTGCACTCCAGCCTGGGCAAAAAGGTGAAACCCTGTCTCAAAAAAAAAAAAAAAAAAAGACAGAAAGTTGTTAATAGCCTTAATATAATAGGATTGTGGATGACTTTTCCCACTTATTTGTATTTTTCAAGTATTTTACAATGAACATAAATAATATTTGTAAAGAGAAAAACAAAAACAAACAAAAGGCAAAAAGACAAGTCCACTTCCCCACAGGTGGTTTAGCCACCTCCTGTCAGTTGTGATGTTCCCAAACTGCTTCCTCTATGATAAAACTGCCAGTGATGGAAACAGGAAGGTATGAAAAACAAAAACAAACAAACAAACAAAACGAACAAACAAAATGTCTTCTCAGTGAGAAGTGAGTTAGGAACTTTGTACTTTTGGCTAAAAGAAACATACTAGGAGGATCCAGGTCAGTGTTTCTTAACTTTGGCACTACTGTCGTTTTGTACCAGATAATTCTTCCCTGTGGTGGCTGTCTTAGGCGTGACAGGATATATACACGGAATATCTGGCCTCTACCCCTAGAAGCCAGTAGCCCGCCCTACCCCCAGTTGTGATAACCCAAAATGTTTTCAGATATGGCCAAATGTCTCCCAGGGAGGACCTTACTGGAGGACCACTAATCTAGGTGACTTGGGTTCTAAGCCTGGCTCAGTCACTGACTCTCTTGTGACTTTATTTTTTAAAATTTTTCTTTCCTATTTTTTTTTTTTTTTTTTTTTGAGACAGAGTCTCGCTTAGTCGCCCAGGCTGGAGTGCAGTGGCGCGATCTCGGCTCACTGCAAGCTCCGCCTCCCTGGTTCACGCCATTCTCCTGCCTCAGCCTCCCGAGTAGCTGGGACTACAGGCGCCCGCCGCCTCGCCCGGCTAATTTTTTGCATTTTTAGTAGAGACAGGGTTTCACCGTGTTAGCCAGGATGGTCTCGATCTCCTGACCTCGTGATCCGCCTGCCTCGGCCTCCCAAAGTGCTGGGATTACAGGCGTGAGCTATCATGCCAGGCCTCTTGTGACTTTAGGAAAGTCACTTTCCCCTTGATAAACCTGAGTTGCCCATTTGGCATAGCTGTTCTCTGAAGTCCCTTCCAGCTTTGACATTTAACAAGTTAAAAATTGTACGTGTTACCAACAATTGTTTTTATTCTGTTGTTTTCAGATTATGCTAAAAGTTAAAATTCCTATTTTCTATGATGTCAGCAAAGTTAAATGGTAATCAGTATAATCCAAATGTACTGGAATTATAATTGGATACACACACACACACACACACACACACACACACACACACACGAAGATTTATATGTACATAAATAAAATAAGCTTTGGCTACTTACCAGGATTCAGGACTTGTAGACAATTTCGATTTCCTGATTGGTTGGCACCTCCAAATACCCAGATATGGTCAGATGTGCAGGAGGGAATGAAGCTAGCATGTTCATAGCGGGGCAAGAGGCCCTTGCAGGTAACTAAGTCCCACTGGTGTTTTCCTGGAAAACATTTCACCCAGTTCCTAGATTGGGGCTGCCAACTGTTATACTGGTTGGCACACTTGGGGAGGGTTGTGAGAAGATGGCCATAAACATAAATGAATCACTTAAAGGGCATGCTGTCAACCTCCAGAAAGTTCTATAATAGATACTTAGGGGGCTGTCTGCCTAGTCCATAGACCCTGTTCTATGGAAACTGTCCCCACTTTGTCAACCACAAGGGTAGATCCCAGATGATATGTTTGTACTACACTTTGACTTTGTAGCTTTGGCTGATTGGGTTGAAGGTAGCCAATGAAACCAGAATGAGCCAATCAGATCAAGTGCTTCCACTTTCTCATGATCCTGGGCTCTACTTCCTGTCCTTGAATTCTTTGAAACACACCTGTATCGGCCAGGCGCAGTGGCTCACGCCTGTAATCCCAGCACTTTGGGAGGCCCAGGTGGGTGGATCACGAGGTCAGAAGATCGAGACCACCCTGGCCAACATGGTGAAACCTCGCCTCTACTAAAATACAAAAAAATTAGCCGAGCGTAGTGGCATGTGCCTGTAGTCCCAGCTACTTGGGAGGCTGAGGCAGGGGAATCGCTTGAACCCGGGGTTATTTTACTTGGTTAACCAAGCAGAGGTTGCAGCAAGCTGAGATTGTGCCAGTGTACTCCAGTCTGGGAAGACAGCAAGACTCCAACTCAAAAAAAAAAAAGAAAAAGAAAGAAAGAAACACGCCTGTATCTGACTAAATAAATTCCTTCTTTTTCCTCTGGTTTAAGTGGGATTCTGTTACTTGTAAATAAATGATGGCTGGCTAAAACAAGTTCACAGAATAATAATACCTAACCTTGGCCAGGAGCGCTGGCTCATGCCTGTAATCCCAGCACTTTGGGAGACCGAGGCAGGCGGATCACGAGGTCACGAGATCAAGACCATCCTGGCTGACACGGTGACATCCCGTCTCTACTAAAAATTAGCCGGGCACGGTGGTGGGCGCCTGTAGTCCCAGCTACTCAGGAGGCTGAGGCAGGAGAATGGCGTGAACCTGGGAGGTGGAGCTTGCAGTGAGCCGAGATCTCACTGCACTCCAGCCTGGGTGACAGAGCGAGACTCTGTCTCAAAAAACAAACAAACAAACAAACAAAAAAAGCCTAACCTTTATTATTAATAGTAGTTATTTCACTGGGTTAAGCAATTATACAAGACCTTTACAGGCATTATCTTGTTAGATCTGAAGCAAGTTATTATCCCTACTTTATAGGGCACTGAGGTCCAGATGGTTGAGATGGTGTAGCCAGCGTCACCAAGCTATTAATAGGTTGCAATAAAGACGTAACTGAACTAATTTAATGTAATTGAGGGCTAGAAGTGATTTAATTTACCTTTGAATTTTTTTTTTTGAGATGGAGTCTTGCTCTGGAGCAAAGAGTGCACTGGCGCAATGTCAGCTCACTGCAACCTCCGCCTCCCAGGCTCAAGTGATTCTCCTGCCTCAGCCTCCCGAGTAACTGGGATTACAGGCGTGTGCCACCATGCCTGGCTAATTTTTGTATTTTTAGTAGAGATGGGGGTTTCACCATGTTGGCCAGGCTGACCTTGAACTCCTGACCTCAAGTGATCCACCCGCCTCGGCCTCCTAAAGTGCTGGGGGATTACACTTCGTCCAGCCTACCTTTGATTTTTTTAGTGCAGGGAGTAGAAATTCAAATGCCTAGGCAGGAGTAACAAAGACTGTGGCAAACTGGAGAATAAGAGCCCTCTTGATAGGTGGCAGCTCAGTTCCAAATAATTGTTGCCATGTAGACAAGCAGGCCTAATGACGTTAGATTTTCCAACATTATCAAGAGAAGCCAAACCATTTAAATGTCTATATAGATTTCTGCATGATTGGTTGGTAAACAATTTAAGATTAGGCTGGGTGTGGTGGCTTATGCATGTAATCCTAGCACTTAGGGAGGCTGAGGTGGGTGGATCACTTGAGGTCAGGAGTTCAAGACCAGACTGGCCAACATGGTGAAACCCCATCTCTACTAAAAATACAAAAATCAGCGGGGCATGGTGGCGCGCACCTGTAGTCCCAGCTACTTGGGAGTATGAGGCAGGAGAATCACTTTTTTTTTTTTTGAGACGGAGTATCGCTCTGTCACCCAGGCTGGAGTGCAGTGGCTCGATCTCAGCTCACTGCAACCTCTGCCTCCCGGGTTCATGCCATTCTCCTGTCTCAGCCTCCCGAGTAGCTGGGACTACAGATGCCCGCCACCAAGCCTGGCTAATTTTTTTTGTATTTTTAGTAGAGATGGGGTTTTACCGTGTTAGCCAGCATGGTCTCAATCTCCTGACCTCATGATCTGCCCACCTCGGCCACCCAAAGTGCTGGGATTACAGGCGTGAGCCACGGTGCCTGGCCCAGGAGAATCACTTTAACCCGGGAGGTGGAGGTTGCAGTGAGCCAAGATCATGCCACTGCACTCCAGCCTGGATGACAGTTTGAGACTCCATTTCAAAAAAAAAAAACAAAAAAAAAACTTAAGATTAAAACAATATGGAAATGTTACGTGGACCTAACAAAATACGTCAGTGGGCCACCATTGTTCAACTTCTGCCCTTGTGTAGAGCAAAGAATAATGGTTTCTTTATTTTATTTTATTTTATTTTATGTTTTTGAGACAGAGTCTTGCTCTGTCACCAGACTGTAGTGCAGTGGCGTAATCTTGGCTCACTGCAACCTCTGCCTCCCAGATGCAAGCGATTCTCCTGCCTCAGCTAGGACTACGGGCACATGCCATCACGCCCAGCTAATTTTTTTTGTATTTTTAGTAGAGACAAGGTTTCACCATGTTGGCCAGGATGGTCTCCATCTCCTCACCTCATGATCTGCCTGCCTCAGCCTCCCAAAGTGCTGGGATTACAGGCATGAGCCACTGCGCCCAGCTAATAATCGTTTCTTATTAGCAGGTTCATTCATTCATTCATTCATTCATTCATTCAAATACTTACAGAGCACCCACTCTGTTCTAAGCCCTGTGGTAGTGTCTGGGATACAATGATGAGGAAAACATGCTACCTGTTTCTAAGGAGCTTATGTTCTTGTGGGGCAGATGGACAGGAAACCATCACATGTGATAGGGCTGTGAAGGCAGATAGGATAGAAGAGCACATGAGACTATGGACATACAGAGTCATGTAGTGCCTGAATGAGTCCAGAGGTAACGGGAAAGGTTCCTGGCAGAAGAGACATTTAATCTGAAATCTGAAAGATATAGAGTAGCCAGATGATAAGAAAAGGGAAAAACATTCCTAGCAGAGGGATCTGTGTGTGCAAAGGCATGGAGGCCAGAGAGCTCAAGCCGTGTTCAAAGAACTGAAGGACATCCAGTGCAGCAAATGTGGGTTGGAGAGAGCCAAAAAATGAGGTTGGGGCCGGGCGCAGTGGCTCACGCCTGTAATCCCAGCACTTTGGGAGGCCGGCGCAGGCAGATTACTTGAGGTCAGAAGTTCGAGACCAGCCTGGCCAACATGGTGAAACCTTGTCTCTACTAAAAATACAAAAAAAATTAGCTGGGCGTGATGGCATGTGCCCGTAGTCCTAGCTGAGGCAGGAGAATTGCTTGAACCCGCGAGCAGAAGGTTGCGTGTGAGAGCAAGACTTATGCCTCTGCACTCCAGTCTGTGGTGACAGAGTGACAGCGCTGGCCGCAAAAAAGAAAAAAAATAAAAAAAAAACAGGCCAGTGCGGTCTGCACAGCGCGGCCCATAATACCAGCACTTGTCGAGCTGAGGTGGCGAGGATTACAATAGTCAGGATTTTCAGGACCAAGCCTGATTGAACATGGAAACCCCGTCTCTACTAAAAATATCAAAAATTAGCCGGATGTGGTGGCACGCCGACCCTGTAAGTCGCCCAGCTATTCAGGACAGGCTGAGGCACAGGAAACACTGCTTGAAACCAGGGGGCAGGACGGTTGCAGTGAGCCGAGGTGTCACGTCGACTGTCATCTCCATTCTGAGCCAACAGAGCAAGGACTAGACTAAAAATAAAAAAAAAACGTGAGGTTGAGAAAGGTCTGAAATACGGGAGCTGACCTGTCAGGATTTCTGTATTTTAGATATTATATTCCGCCTGCTTAGGTAGCAGAAGATATACCTGTATAGTGGGTAAGACTTGGAGAGCGGAGACGGTGACGCGAGGCTATTATAAGTCTAGTTTGAGAGACAACAGCTGGCTTGGACTGACAGTGAGCAGGGTAGTGGGCAAATGGACCAGACATGGATAAAGAGAGAGATACTCGTGGGGTTGGAGTGAGAGCCAAGGAAATGAGGTTGGGGCCAGGCGCGGGCGCAGTGGCCGTGGGTATCCCAGCATTTTGGAGCCGAGGAAGGCGAATCACACGGGAGGTCTGGAGTTGAAGACCTAGATGGCCAAGGAGCATGGTGAAGGACCCAGTCCCGTACTAAAAATACAAAGAGGCATTGGGAGCGGGAGTAGCTGTGGGCGCGGCTGTAGATGTCCCGCGTACGCCAGGACGGCTGAGGCATGGAGAAGTTGCTTGGAGAGCGCGCGGGAAGGGCGCGAGGTTGCAGTGAGCTGAGATGCGCGCCACTGCACTGGCGTCCAGCCTTGCGACAGGACGTGATTGGAACTCCTGTCATCAAAAAAAAAAAAAAAAATTAGCTGGGCATGGTGGAGCATGCCTGTAATCCCAGCTATCTCGGAGCTGAGGCAGGAGACAATTGCTTGAACCCTGGGAGGCTGGAGGGATTGCCGTGAGCGAAGATCGTGCCACTGCACATCCAGCCTGGGCAATAAAAGCGGAAACTCCCCATCTACAACAGAAAAAGAAAAGCAAAGATAAGAGATAAAGTAGGAGGTTGTGATATATTGGCATTATGTGAACTAAATGAGTGGTTGGTAGTCATCGATGTATCCATATGGGAAATATTTGATGAATAAAAGGCTGGCAAGCCAAGCGTGCCATTAAGGGTTCTCTCCTCCTAAACAAGGAGTATTGGTCAGATGACTGTGTGTGCCAGGAGCCTGCTGAGAATGTAACCTTAGGGTATCTGCGTAGTGATGTTTCATTTGTTTCTTCTTTCTTTTTTTTTTTTTTGAGACTGAGTCTTCGGTCTGTCCCAAGTGGTGTCTGGATGCAGTAGCACGATCTTCGGCTCGGTGTAACTTCTGTCTCCGGTGGTTCAATGTAATTCTCCTGTCTCATCCCTCCTGAGTAGCCTGGACGGACAGTGCCCCACCACTACCCGGGCTAATTTTTTTTAGTATTTTAAGTAGAGACGAGGTTGTCATCATAGTGGCAGGGCTGGATCACTCAAACTCTAAATCAGCGCGATCCGCCCGCCTTGGCCTCTCCACAGGTGCTGGAACTAGAGGCGTGAGCCAACTGGACCAGCCTGGCCATCTTGTTCTATAGGGAAAACCCTGCGCGTGGTCGTGTTTTAGGAATGCCGCTGCTAAGGGCTAGCGGGAGCACACAGCGTCTGTTCTCCCTGGCCAGAGGGCGACGTACTCCGCAGCTTGCTGGTCTTACCCCAGAACCATGGCGTGCAACACTGAGAAGACTC